CTACCATCATCAAATTATCGAGACAACTGCAATTAAGTTCAATCGGCTGGCTGCTGACTCCTTAGAGATTATTGCATCAATCCTTATGAAATGTGAAGAATGTAATTGAGAATTTCCAAAAATTTACCCAAATGCTGAAGTAACTAAAGTAGTGATGAAGTCCACTGGTAAAATGAATCCTAGAGAAACTAGAAAGGAAATGTTCGCTTATAAAGCAAATATCATATATTTTCATGTACATTTTCCTATTTCTTTTTATCTTTATATGTTCTCCCACATAATATATGATCATGCCAATATAATATATAGGCATAAAAGATAATTAATCACCGTTAATTAGGCAAAACACAGGTTTTTATATGTTGTAGATCACAGCAAGTACATAAACTATGATTCCTACATATTTGGAAGAGCTGATTTCTGTGGATCCTTATTGTACAATTTAGAAACTTCGGAAGAATTAAGGAATTAATTAATTATTCAAGCAAGGAGTAACTAAATAAATTCTGAGCTTTTTTTACTAATTAAGTTCTCTGGAATCTAGAGATATATATTGTTTTAATTCGATCTTGAAACTCGTTACACTTTTCCAACATACTTGTGTTAGAAATATGGAGTTTTCTGTATTATTAACTCAGAAGAGATATTTAATTCAAGTTTTTTTTCTTAAGCACGTATCATTATATTTTTTTAAAGTCATCAACTTCAAATCTTAATGTCTTCTAAAGCAGTCAGTTGAAGGACATGACAAATGATGAGACTCATAAATAATTACTAACATAATAGTAATTTAATCAGATAAAAGAAAGCAAAATGATTGCAGTTTTAGGATTAACTATTAAGCCGACATAATTTATTTAATTGATTAATCAACATGACATATACCAGTAATCCGCTCGAGCAACTTTTTAGATTAATACGTACATATAGATGAAGCAAGTTCATATATATTTATAAATAAATAGAGAGAAAAAAGAAAAAAAAGATGATTTTGGGGCTAGAACCCGACATTCTAAGATAACTACTTAGATTTGTCTTTGATAAATTATAACTGCTAACCCGATTCTGTTTATATAATTAATAATTATACTTTCATTTTGATTTTTCTTAGTTAAATAGATGTTTAACAAAATATAATATTATGTTTGAAAAATGTTTTAATTATGCTAAAAATATTAATATGGCGGATATATAAAATATATTGAGATCAACTATTATACATAATATAAGAATTTTTATTTACTTCGATGACTATATGTAGCACTATAGGGATCAAAAGAATGATTTATCTAATTTGCGATTCGAAGAGATAACCAACATAATCTATTTATCTTCAGATTTATTTTGTTTTCTATTAAATAAAGCTTTCACCAATTAAATACTGGATAAAGTGTGGTTTTCATTTAGTTGGAACAAAATTGTAGAGAATCCCAATTAATCAAAAAGAAGAAAAATAAGGAAGATTTTAATTATATATAAATTGTAAGAACATTTTTGATGCACTTAAAATTTAGATTTTTCAGGAAACTAGGATTTATTCTGTATAAAAGTAATTTCTATTAGTAAAGATAAACTTAAAAGTTATATTTAGCAAAATATGTAACTTGATTTTAAGCATAATCAAGCATGCTTATATGTAATCTACTCAAAACTTCGCTATAATGAAGAAACTAAAACAGTAATGTCTAGTATTAAAGCACAAAAAATAATTAGGAACTTACAAATTACAGGGTGAAGTTACACTTTAGTAAAGCGTTTTTTATATTTATCTTTTATGCACTTCATTTTATAGAGAGGTCACGAAAGACTTATTGTCAAAATAACTAATTACACCATTTACTTTAGATTATGTTACACCTTATGTACTATTTTTAAATTTATTTTTTTTATTCTTCAAATTTTTAATTATTGTTCATCTAAAAATTTAATATTTTTCTCTCTTTCATCTATATATCTCCTCCTTAAACTAATTTTCAGTTGAGTCTCTAAACATTATCTACATGATTATTTTTCCATTTTCATTTTTAATCGAGCTTATGTATTTTTAATAACGACATACATATGACTCATCGTCTATAAAGTTCTCACAGAAAAGAAAAAAATTCATTTGCATCAGAAATCAAGAAAAATTTTGCATACATATATTGCAACTTGACCTCCACTTAAGATGAATAATACTTGTAATTTTAGTTAAAAAAAAATTACTTAATATAAAATTATTTTACTCAATATTTTAAATTTTATTCATTGAACAAAAGTTAATAATTGGAAGATGGAAACTATGATTTTTATTAGTTTTTATAATGTTGAAAAAGATTCCAGTGAATCCTTTCATTGACTTAATAAAATTAATTTATACTGATTTGATGTTAGAGTTTAAGAAATGAATATAATAAATAGTGATGTAGTATCAACACCATAATTTTTTTCCACCACTTTTTAGTCGCACAAAGAGTTCATTTGATTGCAAAGGTGGAAAATGCTAATCAATTTCATGTGAGTTGAAAAAAAAAAATAAAAAAAGCCAAAACCATATGAATGCGTTTTCCACTCAATTGACCAAAAATAGGTTTTAAGTGTTTGTATATTGAAATTCAAACTACATTTTCACTTTTGTATCAAACAGTTAAAGTAGAAAACGAATTCCTCGAATATGATATTTTCCATGGAATTGAAGTCAATCAAACGGACCCTAAAAGTTTCTAGTTTTTCTATTTTGTCATACTTATGTCTTCACTTTTTTTGTCATAATCTTATATTTAGCCATTCATTAATAGTACATTGTCCTTGATAACTTCCATCCAAATATTTAGTACCATGATTTGAAATGACAAGCAAATAAATTTTTTTATGCTCTCTTGATGAATTTCTAGAATTGAAACTATAATCAAGGACTAGGTGTACAATAAATAGAAATTTAACGATAAGCACGCAACAAAAAAGTTAAGAATACAAGTGAGATAATGAGCAAAACTTTGAGACCTTTAATACAATTAAAAATTGATGGAACAAAAGAAAATTGTAATGTGAATAACAAACCCTAATAAATTTTATAAGTTTGTGTGAAGACCATCTTTTAAAGGAAGAAACCTTTAATGAAAAATATATAAATAATATATGGCGTGCAAAATTAAGAATGTTACTGTTATAAATTAAAGCAAATAATTCTATAAAATAACAAGAGAATAAAGATGGTATTATTCTTTTCACTTGTGTACATGGCCTTTTTTTAGACACATACGATACCCATGCAATATTAATGTAGTTATACTATAGGTATAGAAAATATTTGACAGAATGTTTACAAATTAATATTTGGCTATTTTTCATTGGTTTTGAGCGTAAAAATGACCGCAATGCCCCCCTTAAATTAAAATTTATTTTTCTGTCTCCTATTTTCAATAACACAATCTTCTACAAAATAATATTATACATAAATCAAAAAAATTTCCTTCTTTTTTAACCACACATTTTCCATCCATTAATATGTGAAATAATGGGGCCAATCGAGGGCATATTGTAAAATAAATTAATGCGGGACTTAAATTAGTATGTTTAGAATTAATTTCATGTCGGTTTGACTTCCACAACATGTATAACAGTTAAATAAAATAATAGGTAGGGTATGATTTGTTATTTTCAATTAAAATATTTTGTTCATTCAATTATGGATAATAATAATCACACTACAATTTTATTATTTAATTCCATATATTAGTTACGCTGAAGGTTCCTAATTTTTGCAATTCTGTCCCCAATATTTTTTCGTCACATGTTTATCTTTAACTTTCAATTAAATTGGAACATCTTGTCTTTGATGATAATTTTTTTTTGATTATTCTGCTAACGTATACTGAAATAAGGGGCAAATATTTTATCAAATTTTTGTATTATTTTTGTACTTAATTAAAAATATAGGAGATAAATAAGTCTTTTACTTCCTTGTAACAAATTTTTTTATGAAAATCATCATGAGAGATAAGATGTACAAATTAATATAAGGTTGATGACAAGAATGTGACAAATAAACGTTGTGAACATAAAAGCGTATTTTTTGTTATGACTTCGTAAAAGATAGTAAATCTTGAATCTTTAATTACTAAAATCATTAAAACTAATTGATTAAAATTTTAAATCCTTTTCTTTAACTTTTTAATTTTCTCTGAATTCTTACATACTCGTGACCAACCCAATCAAGAAAATCAAACACTTATTCTGGATAATTAATGTATCAATTTTGAAATGCAAAATATAAATTTAAAAATGCATGATATGCAAAATATAAATACACAACATAAAAGTGTATTTTATAAATTTCTATTTTATTATATTGTCTAGTTCACTTGTTTCCATTTTTTTTTCCCCCTTCCCTCCAAATGCTACCTACTATTAAGACTTGGTAAAAATAAAATTTATGTCTCATAAAACCCTAATTAAATTATTATTTAAATACTTGCATAAATATTACCTTATTATACATATACATTGTAGGATAGATTTATGAGCTAGGATCTATTTTACTCTCTTTTGTTTTTCCTTTAATCAAAATTTACAGTAATAAAGAATAAAACTCAATAAAATACACCCTAATCCTACAATCTCAAAATCAACATTCAGGAGCTTTGCTGCAGCAACAAAGGGACAGGGTTACTTGACAGGAGGGCCAAGGTGGCGCCACCTCAACCCCTATTCGTTTAGCAAAATTGTTCAGAAAATCTGTCTTTGCACGTACCAAGAATGCCCACATATCATCAAACTAGTATAGTCAGAACCGAGCTGTGTGCACAGCATGACACACAGCTCGGTTCACAACACCCTCACATCGGAGGGCTTGTGCCAATAAAAAAATGACGCGGGCCCCACAGCATGTTCAGCACCAAAAAAGTGCTGTACAAATAGCTTCATCCGTATAGTTAAGAGCAGGTCGGAGCTCAAAGTTACCTTCAATTTAACATTCACGGAAATAGGAACTCTAGACCCGTTGTATATCATAACTGCAGTTGAGCAAAATCTTATCGCTAGTCCACGAAACAGATGTGACGCCAATTTACAGAGATTGAGTAACATTAACTCTTCATGTACAAAACTGTTGTTCTAAAATTCAATTTAGTGTCTCGATAACATCTGGTGATTCTACATAAGCTGACCCCCTGAGTTAACTACTGTAGGTTTCTGTAGCAGAAGGCAGTAGAAAATCTTTACCCACTTCCCGTACACTCTGATCCTATATTTCAAAAACAAATATTATAAACAAAATTTGCAGAACTCGATAAAATTATCATAAACATCCAAGAAGAGAACGTCTGAGATGCTGAGCTCAACATGACCATAGTAAGACTGGACCTACTGATGAACTAAGCATATCACTCAAGGCTATTTGAACCTCATTGGACCCGTGTTCACAACTTATCAACCGTGAAAGCAAGGGAAAGAAGGAAGGCAGGTTCTTCACAAATGATGAATCTTCTAAGCTACACATAGCTTCAAGAGTTGCAACAATAAGAGGCGCTCGTGCAGCCAATTCTCTCTGTCTTCCAGAACCTAGAGGTATCCTCCAGTGGAGTTGCTTGTCAAGAAACGAATCAGACATCTGTTTTGAGTACGCATTTTCAATGTAGGACTGTAAGATCTCCTGGCAGAGGTTCACAAGGTAAGACTCCACTTCTGACTCCTTGCTACCAAGAGGCCTATTGACTACAAGATTCTGCAAAAATGTAAGGCAAATTTGATAAGACTCTTTCTCAAGTCGAAGTAGTGGAGGATCCTGCATTTGAGTAATTGATCCAAGTTCTTGCAGCTTTGAACGTAATGCTGCATCACTGTTTATCTTGTGAGCATGAAGTGCCACGGTATGGACGGCATCAAAGAAGATAACAATGTTTTCGACCAATAGTTCGGCTCTATACATGTTGTAGATCTCCATGACCGCCTGCCATATTCAAATTAAAACATTTTATCAGACATTTTAAAATAATTTTGTGATAACGAAAAAATTAAGTGACAATAAAAATTCTATTGTGGATAGATACAACAGGAACATATTGGATAGAAGTTCAGCACAAGTATATCTACACTAGTATGAATATTTTAAAGAAAGAAGAAAATGCATTCTTAATTGCAGCAAGGTCAACAACCTTGCTACGAAAAGAGAGAGTTCCACACATGCAACTTTTAAAGAACAAGACGTAAAATACCACATACAATGATATTACATCCTCCAAGTCCTTATATGGACGGTCTTCTCCTATAAAATTCAAGCCATGGATTTTCAAATAAAGGTGTCCCCATGTCCTCTTCCTTCAATTAGTCAAAGTCAATGTAAGAAATTCTTGGGATGGAGATGAAGAGGACACGAGGATTAATTTGAAACAGGAAACAGGTGTATGCCAACATAAATATTTTTAAAATAAATTATTTCTGAACATGACTACAGAGACATCGATGAGAATTTATGAACGTCAAAAAATTAATGTTATCCACCTGAATTAGTAAAAGCTGAACAGCAGCTCGACATTTGATGTCAGATATGGCAGCAAGCAAATGATGTCTCCTCAAGTTATCCAAATCATCATCAGGAATACTTGTCCCAGTAGACTCATATTGGTTCATCCTATTAAAATCTTCTTCATTACGCATAAAAGAGAAGTCAGGAAGCGTTTCCTTGGCAGCTTCTTTGAGAGATGAAACCACTTCAAACCACTTGTCTTCAGAAAACAGTTTCCCGGCGTTGCTCATTAAACGAACAAATGCGGCAATACCAATACCAGCAAGCCTTTGGTGAGGACGTTTGATAAAACTCACCAATAACATCAGCACTTTCTTCAGAAGTGGATTGACTGTGTCGTAAAAATTAACAAAAAGATCTACAACCAATTGTAGAGCTAGTGTACAAGTCTCGTAAAGCCATGCATCTTGATCAAGTTCCTCGTCACCATTAATCTCATGCCCACCGGTTGGGTCAATAGCACGTCGAGCATCATCAAATATTCGGAATAGGATAGATTCAAACACCTTTTCCCACAATGGCAGAGAAAAGTGCTGGCCATAGTTGCGTAAGGTATCAAAGAGCACTTGTAGGGCACTCTTCCTGATTTCAGGCCTTGGGTCGAAGCTAAGTTCAGATAAACCTTGCGAGAAAAGAGGGAGAGAGCACATTAGTTCATTCAACTGGTTACATTTTTATCCCAAGAAGTTAAAGAAGAGAAATTATCAGGATAAAATGAATATCAATTTTTACGACAGCAATCACCATAGACCATGGACAACAAGATGCGGCATATACATTGTAGGATAGATTTATGAGCTAGGATCTATTTTACTCTCTTTTGTTTTTCCTTTAATCAAAATTTACAGTAATACAGAATAAAACTCAATAAAATACACCCTAATCCTAAAGGGCACCTGCCATCTCAAAATCAACATTTAGGAGCTTTGCTGCAGCAACAGGGGGCAGGGTTACTTGACAGGAGGGCTAAGGTGGCACCACCTCAACCCCCTGTTCGTTTAGCAAAATTGTTCAGAAAATCTGTCTTTGCTCGTACCAAGAATGCCCACATAACATCAAACCAGTATAGTCAAGACCGAGCCCACATAACATCAAACCAGTATAGTCAAGACCGAGCTGTGTGACACACAGCTCGGTTCACAACATCCTCACTTCGAAGGGCTTATGCCAATAAAAAAATGGCACGGGCCCCACAGCATGTTCAGCACCAAAAAAGTGGTGTACAAACAGTTTCATCCGTATAGTTAATAGCAGATCGGAGCTCAAAGTTACCTTCAATTTAACATTCACGGAAATAGGAACTCTAGACCCGTTGTATATCATAACTGCAGTTGAGCAAAATCTTATCGCTAGTCCACGAAACAGATGTGACGCCAATTTACAGAGATTGAGTAACATTAACTCTTCATGTACAAAACTGTTGTTCTAAAATTCAATTTAGTGTCTCGATAACATCTGGTGATTCTACATAAGCTGACCCCGAGTTAACTGCTGTAGGTTTCTGTAGCAGAAGGCAGTAGAAAATCTTTACCCACTTCCCGTACACTCTGATCCTATATTTCAAAAACAAATATTACAAACAAAATTTGCAGATCTCGTTAAAATTATCATAAACATCCAAGAAGAGAACGTCTGAGATGCTGAGCTCAACATGACCATAGTAAGACTGGACCTACTGATGAACTAAGCATATCACTCAAGGCTATTTGAACCTCATTGGACCCGTGTTCACAACTTATCAACCGTGAAAGCAAGGGAAAGAAGGAAGGCAGGTTCTTCACAAATGATGAATCTTCTAAGCTACACATAGCTTCAAGAGTTGCAACAATAAGAGGCGCTCGTGCAGCCAATTCTCTCTGTCTTCCAGAACCTAGAGGTATCCTCCAGTGGAGTTGCTTGTCAAGAAACGAATCAGACATCTGTTTTGAGTACGCATTTTCAATGTAGGACTGTAAGATCTCCTGGCAGAGGTTCACAAGGTAAGACTCCACTTCTGACTCCTTGCTACCAAGAGGCCTATTGACTACAAGATTCTGCAAAAATGTAAGGCAAATTTGATAAGACTCTTTCTCAAGTCGAAGTAGTGGAGGATCCTGCATTTGAGTAATTGATCCAAGTTCTTGCAGCTTTGAACGTAATGCTGCATCACTGTTTATCTTGTGAGCATGAAGTGCCACGGTATGGACGGCATCAAAGAAGATAACAATGTTTTCGACCAATAGTTCGGCTCTATACATGTTGTAGATCTCCATGACCGCCTGCCATATTCAAATTAAAACATTTTATCAGACATTTTAAAATAATTTTGTGATAACGAAAAAATTAAGTGACAATAAAAATTCTATTGTGGATAGATACAACAGGAACATATTGGATAGAAGTTCAGCACAAGTATATCTACACTAGTATGAATATTTTAAAGAAAGAAGAAAATGCATTCTTAATTGCAGCAAGGTCAACAACCTTGCTACGAAAAGAGAGAGTTCCACACATGCAACTTTTAAAGAACAAGACGTAAAATACCACATACAATGATATTACATCCTCCAAGTCCTTATATGGACGGT